GATAAATCATTGTCCGTTGCCCTCTTAGCATACTTGATTTTGCTTATCATGCGCTAAAGAGTTGTTCTTTTTCCTGCCCCCCCCCCCCCCCCCCCCCACCCCCCCAACTCAATTTTTTTTTTTTTTTTCTCTTGCTCCTTTTTTTTTTTTTTTTTGGGGGAAACATCAGAGTGAGGAGAAAAATTTTGATTATGTTTGAAGAACCGGAGCGTGTTTGAGAGTGGTTTTATTTTTTTGTTTGTGTGTATTTGTGTTGTTGTTGTAGTTTTTTTTTGAATAATTTTTAAGATAGGAAGTGGTTATTTGTTTTAGTTTTTATTTTTTGGCGCTGTTTTGTTTTAATATTTTTTTTAGAATAAAAAACTTTGTTCCCTTTTTCCCTGGCCTTATTCATTTGTTTACTTTTAGCATGATAAGGTTTGTTTTTTTTTGCCCCCCCCCCCCCCCCCCCCACACACCCACAACTAAAATTGCTTCTTTACGATGACTTGAGCTTTTTTTCTTTTTTTGCGGGGTAAACTACTAAGGTCGGAAGAAATATTGAGAATATACTGAACGCGCACGTAAAGTTATGACGTTGTGTTCATATTTGTGCCTCAGTATACTTGGTTGGCGATAATGGATTTCTTTAGAAAATCTTGAAATAATGAAGTTGATTTAAAATTTCGATAATATTGAAACCTAGATTTCAATTAGCTTTGTTTTGTTTCCAACTAGTGGCGCATCGGGGGTTAAGGCGAAAAAACTGTTTCAGACCTTTCTAGTCCAAGACGGAAAAATAGTTGATAAAAGGTACTGAAAACCTTTCAATACAGTTTGTTATAAATAAATTTATTCATTCTAAACGAATGTTTCGTGTACACTTAATTGAAACAATTGTAATCAGTTTGCTTTTATCAGTTGTAATCTTTGATAATGTTCTTTACCAAACAGCTCTTTTTTAAAAAAGAACTATTCAATATCTGTAAACAATTTTTTTATTCCTTCTTTCTCTGCAGCTTTCTATTGTAGGTTCTCCAGAATCAAGAAAAAAAAATTGAAATACAAACTATTTTCGTAAGGGATTTGGTACCTTTAGCCATCTCTTCCTGTTTTGTTTTTAATTGAAGTCATTACGTTTTGCATATAAAAGAAATTTGGAGTAAATTTGGAAATGACATTTTGTTGATTTCTTTCCCTTTTATTTTCAATGCCATACTGAGAAATGCAAGCAAATTTGTTGCAATATGTACTTCCACCAAATGGAATCTCCAGAACTTCTTATCATTTGAGGCATAACTAAGTGGATAATATAAGGGCACTGTCGGGTCGCGTGTCAGTCGAGCTTCTCAAAGTTATCACACATTTTAAGTGAAGATTTCTAGTAAAAAATTCTGCCTATTTTTATCAGAGGTAAGGCGTACACAGCTTTGCTTCTTGGTCCCTGTCTTTTTTATTCTATAAATTCTGGGAAATTGATCTTAGAAGAAAGTAATTATTTATTTAGCAGTTCCTTGAAGTTCTTCTTTTTAAGATCCTTCAGGACCTGTTATAACATGAGATCATTATAAGATACTTGTGCAGATCTTCAAAGATCCTTGAAAATCCCGCAAGGTTTTTCACCAGGGAAAGCGCCTGTGGATTTTGCACGACTGGCTCTAAAGAATTACTTATTGCTATAGACTTTTGCTTGCGGAAAATACAATTTAAATTATTTGCGTGAGTATTATGTGGTGTGAACCAGTTGTGAACTATCATGAAGGCAATTAATTTCTGGGGAGAGGGGTGGTTAGGTTTGTCTGAGGAATTTCATATCACCAGATATTTTTGTCCAGCATGTTTTGGATCAAAAACCCTATAACCGTTATTTCCTATTAACGTGAAATATAAGGTGTTTTTCATGACCGAAATTCTCAGCCACAAAATATAATTATAGTTTGTTATCTAATGATATGTGAAATATCTACATATTTTACCCCGATAATTTGAAGGATTGTGGGAAACAAAACCAGTCAGTCTTGATGTTGATGAGAGTGACTCGTAAGTCCTTTTTTATCAGTCCACAACTGGAAATAAATGTAGTGCATGTTGTAGTTTTCATTAAACGTTTGAATTCCTTATGTATCGTTAATTTTTATCCGACCATTAAAACTCGATTCACCACGATTTTTTTAAGTATAGACTTTCGGATTTTATGTCGAGTTTTAATTTTGTTTATTTGCAGAATGTAAGAGAATTCAATGAAGTTATTGATAGATATGATTAGAAATTAGAGTAGTTATTTGCAGGTTCATAAAAATTAATGCCTTAACTGTCTACTATCGAAGCCGGGTTAAATAGAGCAATTATATTTAGCGGGCTAAAATTGATATTGATTTAAGTTTGCCCTGTTGAAGTTGTATTTTAGATCGCAGGATACCTCAATCTACAGCATAGATTCGAGGGAGCAGGGCTGTCAATAGGGAACTTAAGAACCACGACGAAGTTCACGACGACGACGTCTGTTGACTGGGAAAGGACTGGAACGAGAACGTCAGTTTCGGCGGGAAAAAGGAAACTTAAGATGCAGTCGATCGGTAGGTCGACGACGACGACACTGAATGTAAACAAACATGTAGAAGTAGTACAACTGTGATGTTCGTTCGCAACAAAGTTTTTTCGCAAAGGCGTCTTTTAAGACGATGCAAGATCTCATTTTATAAGCCGTACGTCTACTTTCATTGACGATGAAGAATTTTTAGTGTTGTCTGACCTTTTCGAATGAAAAAATCTCTGCTTTCCGTACGAAGGTTATTCAATTTTCAACCAGAATGACATGACCGAGTCCGAGTGTCTGTCAGAGTTTAGATTTGGAAAAAGAGACATTCCGATGCGCTAGCTGTTTTCCATATAAAGTTCATTTCCCATATATTAAAGATATATGATTTGCCTGACCTAAATACGTACAAATAAATTTGTCTTTTACGAGTTCGCTCGCTCGGCCTGCACAGCTCAGTGTTGTCTTCGAAGTAAACACAATTCATCAGTCAAATTTTCAATCAGCATCGCTTGTTAGCAGAAAAAAGAAAGGATACCTGGATTTACGAGGTGAAAAAAATACAAAGCCCTTGAAAAATCGCTTAAAAACAGGGAGTTATACCTGCCGAAGCTTGTGGACTGCAGGACGACGTGACTCTACTGTGTTTGGCGTCGTCGACGACACCACGACGACGAAAATTGTTAACCGCGCTTGCGCAGTGCACGGTATCTCACTTCCGGTCGTCGTCGACAAAGTCGTCGTCGTGGTTCTTAAGTTCCCTAATAAGGGCCGGTAGTCGACCAAAACCGCCAGCTACTTTCATCTCCCTCTACCATAACTGCTAACAAAAAATAAGCACCATCGAATAAAATTGTAAAGCATCCGTTCCCAGGTTTGAATGACATTGAACGCATATTTAAACAGGCAGAGATCTGTGAAACGTTCGAACCGTGCGATGTCGTGGAACGCCTGGGACATTTCGACGGCGTTGTTCCCAGTCTTGCATGTATTCTCGATGCATTCTGACGAAACAACATGGCATCCGCGGTGGAGAACCTCTTGAAAACCCCTGGAAATGGCATTTCCAAGACTCTAAATTTCCCTTCGAAGTGTTTAAAAATAGAAAGAGAATAATCTACGAAATATTTATTAAAGAATAGGATTTTGCCTCGCCTTTAGTTTTTGAGGCTAAAGTTGCCCTGCGAAACCGCAAGAAACGTTACCAAATACGCTGGGCATGATGGTATTGAGAAGTGAAGATGCTATTCTGTCGTTTCAAGATGGCGCAGATTTGGAACCGACAACCTCTTTTCTCGATAACATGCACAGACTACGCAATAAATCACAGAACCCCCATCGACTCGATAAGGAAGTGTCGCCATCTCCTTCGTCAACGCAGCTAACGAAATTAATTTAAAGGTTCTTCTTTTTAAATCAGGTAATTACGTGACGTGTAAAATTAATTATAAACCAACACTTCTTTTGCCGATTTCTCGCGCTTAGGAACATGCAGAGACTGCCCACCAAATCACAGAACAACAAACGACTCGATTAGAGAGCACCTCCTTCGTCGAGGCAATAAGTTAGAAGAATTAAAAACTAGTTTATCTTTTAACTTGACTATGCATGATTCATTTCGGCGGTTGAAAATACATGATGGCGTATCCAATATGGAGGCCATAAAGAATCTGGAAATATTCTTTTACTTCATTAAACATTTGACGTGAACTTTCTTTCAGAAATGTGAATTGAATTCCCATTTCCAAACAGGTTATCTCATTTAAAAAATTCTGATTTACACGCTACAGGGTAATATAATCAAAGCGACTTCAAAGACTGATTAGCGCGCCCATATGAAACGGACAGCAAACAGTAATGCCTCCACACATGAGCGATATAATCAAACATAAGAAAGCGATACACAAGTGTTTGAGTCATATCTGTTTCTTGCAATGGACAAGGTAGCAAGCTTTTTTGTTATCTTTTCTTGTTGCAAAAATAATAATAAATAAGCCCTTTTGGCAATTCCAGGTGATCAAAAGGAAAGCCAGAGGTGATCTCTAACGCCGAGAGTTTTATATAATAAAAATCGTTATTTTAATTTCGCAAATTATTTTAAAGAAAACTACGCAAGGCTGGCGCATCTTGACATTCCTTAAGACTCAATGCGCGCTTCTTTCATCTTCTATGACTATGATAAACAACACTGAATTTCCAACTGAAGTTCGTTTAAATGTCGTTACTTTATTTATGTTGAGTGAGACAACAGTTTCATCCTTTTAGAGGCAGACTGTCATTTAAGGTTGAATTACAAAAAAAAGCAACTCTCTAGTCTGAATACAAAGTTAAAGGCTGTTCTTGAAAGAAATGGATATGAGATGTATAATATAAATTTCATGATGTTTCATAGCCACTTTTAATCCAGTTATAAGCATTTTATTTTTGAAAGATGACCTATTTTATAATGTATAATCCAAAATAGCTCCAGAAATCTAATCTCTACCATCTCGCCATTAATATTGTACGACTCTGTTTCTTTCTGGTCCTGGAACTTCTCTGCGAAAGATTCCTGTCCCGTATTCTCTTTTACAAGGATAGGCTCTCTCGCACAATTCTCTCGGTACGTAGTCTGCCTAATATAAAAAGGATAAAATATAGATTAAGAAATGTTCAATCAAAAGGTCGTGTACCAAGGTTCCTTGTTAAAAGCGACCCGCTATGTTTCAAGGGAGGAGGAGGAGGGGCTGTTGGGAACTGAATTACACATAAAGATACAGTTGACTCTCGACAACCCGAGCCCTCAGAGCCAATTCGAACCTCGCGCTAACTCTTGATTTCCCCTGGATTTCCTTCAAATTTGTACTGTAATTTTACACTCGGTAACTCAAACCCTTGATAACTTAAACCTCCCGCTAACTGGAAGTAATTTTTGTTTCTCTTTACATCATTTCTGTATAGTTATACCCTCGATAACTTGAACCATGTTTTAAGCGCTTGACGAGTAGCAAAAAAAAAAGACAGCGAAGTACTGCAGTCCGAAACAGGGAATTTATTTTTTTTATCTATTTATTTTGCTTCTTTGCTTGATTTATTTTTCAAAATATCGACCAATATATCTCCTGCTGTCCTTGAAGTTAAGTGTGCATGATACTTGCATTCCTCTTTCATCCTGTGTCCTTATTTCCTGGTTTCGGTTATTTGCTTTGAACTCCTGATGCCTTGTCCCTGATTATCTTAGGTCGCAGGTTGGTCAAATTTTGAAAGCGTTATTATTCGTTACAGTGTATTACCTTTTAGACATAGCAACAGATTCTGTCACCATATTCTTGGAAAAATCTCGGGGTTTTGAACAGGCACGGTATGATTAGTAATTTCACCCAAGTCTACTACTGATGTCTAGTTTAATTGAAATCCAGTGTTTCGACCCAGATCCCAGCGAGGCCTAGAAAATGACCCTCATTCTTGAATGAGATATATTTGCGTTCATTATAAGGGCACATCAAGGTCAAAACATATGTTATCGGTAAAGATCAAAGCTTGAAACTGATTCGCAATTCAAACTTAGATAAGATTTTTCTACCGACTGCTGAATTAGCCATTCTAATTAATTTCTAACCTAAAAAAGCGGGCAACTTGCCCGCTTTTTTATCGACAAATCGATTGGGCAGTTTGGCTTGTAGCGAAATATGGTTTGTTTGAATTTCGTTGCAGCTAGGAAAAAATCCGTTTTAAATTAATCATAAAGAGGAGGTAGACCAAGAACTACATACATTGACAGCATCAAGGCTGACACTGGACTAAAGAATATCAAAGAGATAAGAGGTGCAATGCTTGATCAGGTCGTGCGGAAAGATCTTTTAGGATGGCTCGGGATGATTCCCGGCCTCAGGAAGTAAGTTAGTAAGGAAGATTTGTTTTCGCCAATCGAAAATTGACTTTAGCATAATCAGTGCTGAAAAACTGCATGCTGCGAAGATTTCCTTTGAATTATACATGATTTTGCCCAAATTCAGCAAGTTAGAACTAATTAAGTAAGTCTCCAAAATTGGCTTTGGGGGTATAGAAGTTACTTAATTTAGAAAGCGAGAAACCCTTCGACCTTTTATTTTTCGTTAAAATGCAATTAATGCTGTTGAGAAACTAGTTCTACAGTGTCTTTAACAGTGTACGAAATCGCTGGCAAAAGAAGTCGATAGGCGACATGACAGGGCGGAAGGTTAGAGAAATTTTTTTCAAAGGCTTTCATTCAGAACGCGAACATTTTGATTGGAAACCTTAAGATACATCTTCAACAGTGGCACCAAACGAAGGGTTCATAGAGGCTCCTGGAGGGTATTTTTAGCCAGCAAGGCTTATTAGGACTGGAAATTGGTTTTCACCCGGTCCCACTGACTGATTACAAACCGTTGACGAGGAACGAATGCGCAAGCGCGTCAACCTTTGGAATGACGACCTGATGGAAAATACATTGAGTTTACATGTAACAATTAAAAGCTTGATTTACGCTTAAAAGACTGTAATGGACATGAAAACGTGGAATACCTCCTGATCGCTTGAGAACTCCCGTTTACCAGTTTTTGGCTTCGCGGCGCCGGCTGTGAATGCACTGGTCCAGGTAACAAGGTAAAGCAGCATCACAGCTAGAAAAATCCATGTAAGTTTGGAATTCATTTTAGACAATGGGGGCTAGCTCAATTACGAGTATTTTCAACGTCTTAATAGCAAAGTCCGCATAAAACGTTAATGACCTCCTGGTGTGTAATACGCCTTTTTATACGTTTTGCTTTAACGGACGTTTAATATAAGGTTTGACAGAGCCGCGCGTGGCGCCTTCAGTTAAGATAAAACGCTTCCTAATGGGAAATAACGCAAGAGCATTAATTAATTAACGAATAAAAGACAAATGGAGTGTTTTATAGTTTCCTGCTCGTAAATATCTCCCGCACCTGATATTACAGAAACGTAGCATAAGTTTTGAGCTGCATTTCTACAGCTAGTTATAAAGAAATGACGCAGTATATACAAATAATGACGAAGAACGAATGTAGTTCTTAGTTATCGACTCGTACACAAACAGCGGAAGGGGAGTTACTTTACTGAGCCACTGACGTTTGTGTCTCACGTTCGCCTAAGTAATATAATACAGTAACTTTGTCTTTTTCAGATTTTAAAGATATCATCCTGTTTCATATTTTGAAAAACCATGAAGGAGAAAAAAATTCATTTCATACTAATTTAAGCCCATAACTTACCAATACTTATTCCATGCTTAATGTACAGAGATTAGAGATTGCTGTAAATCACATGGGTAGTCGTTAGATGTGCCCTATTTCCGCTTGTTATGGCAAATTTAGTTTCCAAACAATCAACTCTTATTCCATTAAGCTTAATTTCACGCTTATACTTTGACGAGCGTCAATCGTAATTTATGTTTTAATGGAGCATGGGAAACGTAAATCACACTTAATGTTGAGAATAAAAAAAACTCAGCACAACCTAAACGCATCTGACCAAATCTTCAACTTTTTTGGCTTTGCTGGCACTGAATATAAATACGTAATTTGGAAATGTCGATTAAGTCCGTCTACTCGAAAGGCAATATTTTTCACTATCATTACCGGCATTCAGTATTCTTCCAAACATTGCACAAATGTGGCATTTATGTCTTAACGTTTAAACTTTCAGTGACCTTGAATACGATTCTTGGGACAACTATTTAGACGTGCATTTCACAAATTCATTCGAAACAATTGCACCATTTTGTGTCTATATTTCATGCGACTTTCACGAAGGGAGTTACGTGCAAAAGGTTAGAATGCTTAACCAATATTGATGGTTAAAGAATCTTCAAATTGTCAAAATTAAAATGAGTCTTACATTAGGGCAAATACAAGTTGAAACTTTTGCGCGTAGTTAAAAACAAAAGGTGTCTGTTTTATCTAATTTCACTCAAGTTTTTTTGCATAAAAAAAAATAAGAAATCTTACTTCCGGCTTCTGCAAACCTACTCAGGAGAGCAAGAGGTAGAATTATTTCATTTATAGATTGGCCAGGGAACATAAATTAATGCTACAAGTTCAATCATCTCCCCCAAAGCAGGTGACGGTTAATAACAACATCCCAGTAACTACGGTTTTTTTAAATTATTTATATAATTGTATATATATTTTTTTCGTTTTTCAGTAGTTGATGATTAATTGTTGGAAAATTTTAGTACTAAAAAGGGCATGAAAAAAATAAGTAGACCATCTCTGTATTACGCCGTTTTGGTGGTTTACAAACTTTCGTATTGGCCGTTTAGATTATTTTTCAAAAAAAAAACCCATAACCCATACAGAGGTCGTGAGGATTGTCTAAAACGATCATATTTATTTGTCACAAAGTATATGTTATACCATACCCTGCATATGTTGTCAAAAAAAAAATCTTTTTTTCAATGATCAACCAACAATTATCTTATGGCCTTGAGACAATAAATCGTTACCAGAGACCCTCGGAAAGCTGCAACGTCTGCAAAAATTTTGTAGTTGTTTGTCTCCCCCAGTAAGGTGCTAGGGAATACTTGGAGGCAAGGTTGTAGTTGAAAAGGAGATAGATATCGGCATTCTAAAAATCAACAATATCATTATCTTTGTCATCATCAAACTAGCAGGAAAAAACACATTCGATGAGAAGACCGTATCAGTGTAAAAACAGGTAGCGCAAAATAAACCCTGCTTTTAATTTCCAAAATATTATTTTAAAAAAACTTCTTTCAACAAGCGCCAAACCCAATTAGTTTAAATCAAATTTTGTTCCTAAAAAAATAGCTCAACTACTGACGTTAAATGCAATTTGCGACTATATTTGTTTCAAAAATGGTCCTTTTGTTATGTTAAAAATTAAATTAGAGACATTAGGAATGGTCTTCCAAACGCCTTAGCAAACAACGCCGAAGATTTGACGTTAAATTGATGATCTTCATATTTATAATTAAAACATAATAAAGGAAATGAACCTTGTGGTAGAAGATAGATGACTTATCACCTACACTTCAGGGCGAAAAGTTCCAAACAAAGGCCTTGTAATAGGTCATTATTACCATATCACACTGAAAAATCTTGTGGGCATGCAGCTCTATGAAAAATCGTTTTATTCACCCTGAGGTTGTTATGAATGTCGGTAGTAGTTCTTTTCTCTAACAAGAAATTATAATTAATTTTGTATGGAAAAGCTTTCCGCGTTCAACCAGTATGTATCTTGTAGAGATGTTGTCCCATGTAAATTCCGAGATCGAAATTTCAGCAAGAGCTTCAAATTATTTCTATGTCACATCGCCTTAAGGTTAAAAATATGCAACTAATTCACCTATTAGAAAAATTTTGAAGAGCAAAACATTGAGGCATAGTTTGGGAAGAAGACGTTGGATATCGACAAAGATGAACTTGATGATAAGTCCCTAATGGTTGCTGTTCGTACAGGAGTCAAGTTTTAAGATGTAACGTTCCTTCTTTATACATTCATCTTTTCTTTTCAGTTTCTTCTGGTCTGAATTAATCATTACGCCGGGCCCACCTAGAGCCCTGGGAAGAAATTTTAGCAGGGGTGTACCTTGTGCTTTCTAAAACCCTTACAATAACTATATTTAGGGCGAAAATGTTGTATTTTCATTGGCTTAAAACATGCTCATAAAGGCAAGGATACCAGCAGTCAAAAACTTAAACAGAGTTGAAGAAAAGTACGAAAACACGAGTCAGTACTATGTTGGCCTGATATATAACGTCAAGGCTTCTTTTAAGTCAAAAGCAGAGAAGGCCAAAATATAGAACCATAGTAGACCGTTGACAGCAAGATCACACCAACGTAATTTAATTCATGTAACTTTTTTTAATAACTACATAATTGGTCATGTCAACATTGTGAGCAACGCATCGTAATATAATGACAACACTGTACAGAATGAATTCCTTTTGTTGTATGAGGGCAGGGGTTCTTTCCTTTATGTCCTACCCAGACTAGTAGAATCGAACTTAAGATAAAAATCAATGTAGCGACATTGCATGAAACGATCCACCTAACTGAATTGTTTGCTGTCTTATTTCTTTCTTATCATTTCCCTTTTCGCTTTCTTCTGGTTGCTTATCTCACATTCAGAAAACTGTGTCATGACTTCACAGGGCTCATGCTTCTGAGAGTGATCGTGCAATTTAGCGTGTTTAGCGTCTACCTTGCCTTTGTTGAAGCCCCCACCCCCTCCATCTAGCAAATGTGTATTTTTTACTGATCTCTTTGTCACTGTAACGGTGCTGCTGATGGTTTCTGCTCAAAAACAGCTGATATTTCATGGATTTTCTCGAAATTATCGGGGGGTGGGGGAAGTTTGAGACAAACATAGTCTTTAGTGACTGATGTTTGTCCCACGACGATTACCGCAACGAGAACGTCACAAAAGCAATAGGTTTAATAATGAAAACAACAATTTGCACGTGCATCACGTTATTTTCTTTCTTGGTACATTTCTTTACCGCCAAAGCCTGACCTCGACGTGAAAATACCTAATCTCACTTTGTGCAGAGGAAGAAAACAAGCGACTACGAAATTCTTCCATCTTTCTTAATTTGAATATGGTTCTTAGGAATTCAACTTTAGGAGGGCTCACCTACGTTTGACAAAGTTAGTGACTTGGAGTAATCGCGATGAAGATTGGAAGAACGCGAATTCACTTTTTCAGCGACGTTTTCTCTGCCGTCGCCGTCCTCGGATCTTAAGCTCCCTATTATCTCTATGGTACGCTTTGAATACTTGGAAGATGTCTATTTTTTGACCAATTTCACCCATTGCTTGTGACGTAGACATTATTGTTTTGCTAACTACAGTTTCGATTTGCCTTGTGTCTTCTTTGGAACAAAATACTTCATATCTTCCTTTTGGAATTGAGATCATTGTCAATTATATGACTGCAGGCTCAGATCTCAAGGTGACCATGTCAGGATTCTTACTTTAGCGCTGTAATCAATCCTCGATGCGACCATTCGATATTTTCCTGATTCCCTCACCAACTTCTATAATTTTAGGGAAGTGAATCCGATACCCTCGTAGCATTGACTGTATGATTTATCAATAAAACAACTGATTCGTTATTTTTCTTTATTAAATTTATACATCGTTAAGAATATGAGTTCTTTCATAAGCGTTATCTGAAGCGTATCACTTTAAGCTCTACGTCATGGCTTTCGTTCGTTTTTTTTTGTAAACTCGACGCCATTCTAACAGCTTGGCACTTTTCGCCGGTCGAAATCTGTCAGCAATTCATTCACGGCCAGTAGTCTTTATTCACTTCTGATTAGTGTCCTTGCTCCTTCTTTCCCTTGAAGGACAGTGCAGATTAATTACTTCCTTTAACAGAGCCTGTATTGTAGCTTTGACCTGGAAAAGGAAAAAAAGATAAAGATTAATGAAATCAAGTTACGATGGTACTAAATGATGAGTGGTGGTACGGCCGCAGAAATCCATGGCACCTTATAAAACCTTTCGCAAAAAAATCCATAGAAATATACATTATCAGGTTCACTTAGTCTTAACTATCAATCCCTCTTTTAAAACTTTCTGTAGTTCTGAATGCTATCGCACGTAGCAATAATAAACTTATCGCAAGGTCAAATTTATCATATCATGTCAAAGGGAAAAAATTACTTTTATCTCCACTCATTATAACCTCGAAACTTTCCCATGGAAACCTGTGTCAGAAACAAAATAACACTGACGCTGGTTTGTGACTTTTGAGACTCCTTTTTGCAGTAACGTTTCTGTAAAATTTTCTTGGATAATTTCCGGTTGTTACCCTGAAAATCAGCCGTCTCCTCTAGTTTCAAACTCCCGAGAGAGACGTCTGAATCAACTAGCCGCTGATGCTGTCCAGTGACGTCACTTCCTGAAACCCGAATAGTGATTTTGATTTGTTGATTATTAGAACATTCGCATGATTGTGTTTAATTATGAGAAATTTGATTTAGCAAAACTGTCATTATTCTCAAAGCTCTTCTGAGACAAGTTATTTGATGTGCAGCGGATTAGATGCTTTATAGATAAAAATTGAAAAATGAAAATTAATTGCTGATTGTACCAAAATTTCTAGACTTGGATGAGCTGAACTCTTATTTTTGTTGTTTAATTAATTTAATAACTAATGAAAAATATAACTATCAAGCCTCACAAAAAGAGTTCTTACGCTCGCCTCAGTATCATTCACTAAGGCAAATGATGACAACAGCAAATCGCAAACCGTGAATTCTGGGGCAAGTGACGCATGCGTAGGTTCATCCACGGAAACATGCGGACAAAACCGTCTTTGACTGAGCAGATCAATTTTGTCATTTAATTGCAGCACGAGCTTTATTCTGGAACGAAAATCATTCCGAACTGATTCCGTTATCTCGTGTATAGCCCCAAAAACATACTACATTTTTGCGCACTTCTCAGCTATTGGTTAAACCCCGGCATATCACTCGCAAGCAGCCTCAGAGAAAGCTGCCTAATATGAACCATCGACACCATGTTTTAACTACTCAGCCGACATTTCTGAACGATAAGTATTAATTTTGACCGTTTCATTTTTTAGCCAATCATACAAGTACATGTGTGTCTGGTAACTGAATTTAGTTCAAGAGTTGAATTCAAAGACTGGGTTTTCTGGCATGAACGTAAGAAATCATAAAGCGAACATGACATTAATGTCGATTTTAAGAGATAAATCGAAATAGGTGTTTGGCAGCCTTAAAGCACTATTTGATTTTTACTTATCAGAATTAATTTCTGTTTACCTTTAATTGTTCCCATGCTAAGTTTACACTTTACTGCTCCCTTCTTATTCTTATTCACCAAACAGTTCCGTGTGAAAACGGCTCAGAGTCTTCAAATCGAATTTTCCCAGCTGACATATGAAAATCCCTTATCCAAAAGCGCCTTGCTACCTTTGAGCTATAGTTTTAAGTTAACCACTAGCTTAAAACGAGCCTTTTGTGGATCTGTTTTTAGATCTGCTAGAAAGCTTCTACTGTATCTTAACAATATTTACCTCTTCGCATTTAGAGACATCAAAGTTTTCTCTTCGTTTGCTTCTTAGTCGAGAAAGTTGACTAATACCTGCTGGTGTAAATGCTTGGCTGTGAAGAATCATGCTCATTAGAATGATTCCTAAAAGAGCTAGGGCTGAGATCGTATTGGAACTCATCTTCTTGATTTTTAAAGGACACGTTAAATGGACTGCATCTCGGTCAGAAACTTGTATTCACTGTCGTGTTTTATACTCTGTGTATTCAAGTGCCAGGATACTGGTCACGATTGCCTTAAACGACTTAATGGGCACAAGACAATGACGGCCATTACATTTCTGCTGACGAATTTTCAATACAGTTTTGTGATAAATGTACACTGAGAAAAAAGAGCAATATTTCATCAGATGTGCAAGGCCTTTGATTTGAAGGTGGACTTTGATATTAATGATGACTAATTAATTACCGTTTCTCGACAGTAATATACATCATATTTACACCTACACATTTTTTGTTAAAGTTACGCAACCAGCAATGTTAAGATATTTTGTAAAGCAGCTTAATTGAAAACTGTTGGCAACTCATCACAACTTAAGACAAAAATAAGATTTTGACAATACTTATAACTCTAAAAAATGTCTAGGAACATAATTTCAGAGAGTAAAATTTCCTTCTAAAATGCTGTTTGTTCCTATATTCTACTGAAATTGTCAATGAAAAAGAAAATTGTCAGCGTTATCAAAGTGTGTGGGGGCTTCGGTGTTTTACTTCCTCGTGGCAAACATGTGATATCTTAAAGATGTTTGTATAATGATCTGATTACAAACGTCAATGCTTTTCTTCCTTGTAATATTGAGCTTTAGTTATCTGAAGTTTACTCCGAGATTTTTTCATTTAGTCTTCATCCTTATCTCGTGTAAAAATGAGGGAGAAGACAGCAGTTCTAATGTACCGGAAAAACAGCTCTCGGTGAGCCTTGTTGATAGACGTAACTTCTAATGGTAATGATTCTATCCTAGACCAATATGAGATCGATCGTTTTCGAACTAAGGCGCACTATAGAAAGGGCGTTGCTCCTCCTATCTTTAACACATCTTATCTGCATTACGTGACGACGTTAGTGGAAATCAGAAATTCTCTCCCTTGTATTGTTACCTCAATACCCTTGCACCAGTAGGTCTAAGTATAAAAAAAAATAACGGCACTTTATATTCAACTTAAAGTGTTTGATGCAGCGCCCTGTACACACGAAAGTGCAAGTTGCTTGTTAAGCTTGTTTGTTATCCACAATTTTCTTTTTTCTTCCGTCATAACTATCAGGATATTGTTCAACCAACGTGAATTTATTTTCTAGATATAAGTTCTAATCAATCAGCTCAGTGTTATTAAATGAATAGGGGTATTGTTTGGTTCATTCTTCCATTGTTTCGTTAGCCAATAAAACTACTCCACCTACTGGAGCTTTCTTCTGCCCCCGTTAATGGCGTTATTTCAATTATCTGTATTGGCGTCATTTGTTGACAGCACCATCCGCAGTCAGGCAAGAAACGATATCAGTTGATAATTGATTAAAAGATCCCAAAATCAAACATCATGGAAATCGAAAACCAACCTCTAGCCTACAGGGTCTTCGAACAAGCCAATCCGCCCGACATGGCCATGCCCATACCCAAGATGGTGTCGTTTTACTTGGTTAAGGATTTGATGCTTAATGAAGGACTGAAGAGTCAGTTATTAAATGTCTAGTCTAGCAAGAGTTTAGCAAAACAGAGTTCAAGACACACAACTGATATATAAGCACTGTTTATCGCGTTTAGCGCCAAGAAGGCCTGCAGTATATTATTTTAGCAACTTAAACCGCAGCGATTAATAAATGCAGAACCTTGGAGAGACATCATGTAAAAGAAAGACTTTCTCTTGCTTAGACCTGCAATGGGCCACCACTAGATCTTTTTTCATTTCGAAGCTAAGGCTATTTTTGAAAAAAGGTAAATACATGTTTTTCTTGAGTGACTCTCAAAAGAGAAAAGCTTAGACGCGAGACACGTGTGCAGTGCCATTTTTCCTAGAATAATTAATGCTATAGCCTTGTGGTTGGCGGTTGGATTAGATCACTTTGATGCGAGACACGAGAACGCCTTACCCCAACGAACTTGATAAGTTTACAGGATAACCCGCAATAATGCCGTGCAATTGTTGCGTTTGCTGCACAACCTAGGAGGACCCAATTCAAAAACTTGACGACAGGATCTATCTACAGGGCAAATGAGGCAAGAACACAAGGTAAATTTAGTGAAATATAGGAGCGGTTTTGAGGATGAAAGAGCAAGTCCTTTGCCGCCTCCATCGAGATTGCCACAGCATTGCTCCTAGAATATAGTGGAGTATGGCGCCAACTCCTCTGCGCTTGCTATGGGGTAATATATCCTTTTTTGTCTAGTCCCCTCAACATATTTATGTAAACTTATGAATAGTTCATCAATAAAGTAAAGAATTGCTGCCTACAATGTGTCTTTCAACCCTCAAATATTGCCTAAAACCTTTTCTATGGTTTCCTTATGGTTTGGCCAATATTGTTAAGAAAATCAATCGGTTAAGACATGTTTGCACAAATAAAATTTAATTTTGTTATTAAGCCGATACTGTGATAATGAACACAATGTTTGTGTTGTTTTAAAGCTAGTTTTATAGACTGTATTTTAAATATACTTTTACAACAACAACAACAACAATGTATTTATTTAAAGAAATATAAATTTTACGATACTTTATGTCCTGCAAATAGCTATAAGGTTAATTTAGGCAGGACAAGACTTTAAACTATTTTAACTAATAATATTAAACATGAAAATATAGGTATGTATTTACACTTGTATATTCAATAAAGACTAAAGTCTGTAGGCGAGGTATTTTTAGCTAGTGATATTAAAACTTAAGATGTACTTCAGTTTTTTCACTGAAGTGCTAGTATAGGCGTTCCATGGATCATTGACCTACCAATCTTCATAGGCATGGTCTACTATGCCGGCAGCTCGTGCGACATAGGCCTCAGAGTCAAAACTGTCAAGGGAGCCCGTGGCTTCTCTGCTTAGACAAATGACGCGATGATTGGTTCAGGAAACCACAATGCAATCACGTTTTCTTCTTTAAATACCTTCCGATATGCGTCTTCTACTCCTTCAATCAAAGTGATCAAGTCGTTAAATGGCATGAGGCTTGCCGGTGAAAATCGCAAACATGACAAAAATTGTAAATTTTCTCTTTTAAGGTCTTCCAAAAGTATTTGTATCCTGGCTTTACAACGTTGCACAGCGCTAAACACAACAGTTGTCATAGAAGCAACCGATATTCTGAGGTACCTGGGTAAAACGCGGTGCGTTTCTTGAGTTTGACTTGCGAAAAAAAAGAGGAAGACTGAAAAATGCATCCCTTTTCTCCCGATTTTTTACTAGTTAAGAAATTTCCTCTGGTTACATCTTTTTCTTACTTTTTAGGACATAAGGAATGGAACTTTTGCGGGTCTCTGTAGAAAATGCTGCATTAGGCGGAGCAAGTAAGAAATATCAAAGCGATCCAGGTAGAGACCGAATCTCACTATACGTTTAAAATTGGCAGTAAGTGAAGAATTTTCCTTTTTTAAGCGAATGAATTAATTCTTTGAGTGTTTCGTAGTTATGCTACCATGATCATTTCAAATGATAAAACAAAACGTGTTCTGTTCGTGAACACTGAGAATTTTAAAGGCCGCCATGCTGGATTTTTCTACAGTACAATCTGTTCATGGCTCAAAACTCCCTCGAAGCTAAAAATAGCACGATTTGCAGATTAGTTCAACAGAACATTTATACTATTCGCGCTAAACAATGAAAAAAAAAAATAGGTAATTCTTCTTCAGTTTCTTCGTGACGTTTAAGTTTAATATTTCCCTTACCGTTATAAGCTAAAATTTTTGTGTTGAAGTAGCGTTCTTCATCAAAGATTAGATAACAATCAAACGACACGAAAAGGCCCCATCAAAAGAAACTTGCTTAAAATAAGCAAATAGATGAGACAGAGATCAGAAAACATTTGATTAGTTATAGGAAATAACACTTCCTTGCTGGCACTATACTAATAGGCAATATATTGGCACTTATTTCAATCACGTGTTGTGGTCATGTTGATACATGTCAGAGAAATTTATACGCACGTGTGTATATTTGTTTATCTGAAACAGAGTTCACGTGTTGGTATTAATTGTAACTTTGACTTTTTTTCTCTTAGAAAAATTAAGGAGAGGGAAATGTAAACAGAAGACAAGTTTGTGTGTGTTGTGTGTCTGGTTTTCAGAACCAAGGGCAAAAGTTTATTAGGGAGGAAATGAAATTTGAGATCGTAATGATAAAAAAGAACTCATCGTGTTCATGAACCTAATATCGGCGTTCAAGCGAGAAAGAGAAGGATGTGTGCGGCATGATAAGTAATGCACTTGAACCTTTTCACTTCGATGCAATCCTAGTCGTCATTTACATTCAGGACTACGTCTTAATTGAAGCCTTCTAATCTCTTCAATATATCATGAAAAAGTTAATAAATAATAAATAAATGTTAAATAAATAGATAGGCAAAGTGAAGATGGCTGAGAACTGTGGTAACTATTGTGAAAGTTTGCGAGCTTAACCGCTCAGAAGTTTTTTGAAGAATCACCCTAATAATTTGAGGATCTAATATCAAACACTTGAAAAGGGTGTTTAATTTTATATTCAAACACCTCACGGGAAGTCGGTGGCCACTTCTCACGAGTGTTTGGATATTATCAGATGAACACTCCATCTCGAATTTGTTATACTAATTTCAGCACCTTTTAATATCTAATTATTTTTTAACAAGATCATGAAAAGAATTTTTAAAGAAAGTGCTTATATACAAGGCATGGGCACATAAATCAGACATAAGCAAAAATAAGGCAGATGTGATACTCTTTTACGGGTAATAAACAGACTCCTGTCTTTTATTATTATTATTATTAATTATTTTCTCCATTTTCTGAGAATGACATTGCAAAAAGGACCAACCAAGAGGCTATTACTGATGAAACTAAAACTTCTCGACTAAACTAAGACTGCTATTTAATAACTAAAAAACCTTTACGGTCCTTTGCGGCCTGGACTCTAAACTAAAAGGTAAAACAAACGACGAGACTCTGCCCTTGAGTAACTGTGACGTGAACCAGGGATCACTAGCAATTCGACTGTTTGATTCGTAGATATCTATTGAAAGACGATTCATGTTTTACTAAAAACGACCACGAAAGGTGATTTAAGGGACCGTTCATTATTTATCGCCTGGGGGGCCGGGGGGAAATCGGCGGAGGAT